CTCAGGATCAAGAAAGAGCAAGAGGTGCATGTGAGGCAAGCCTCGTTTTTGGTACTCAATGGTACGAACTAATCCCTTATATCGACCAAAGATATTCTTCCTTTTCAAATCGTTCAAAAAATGACGAACTTTCAAGTTGAACACTCTCGCTATCAAATCGGGTCTGTCAAAGGCAACTTGACCAGGGAGGAGCTCATTGGTAATTTCTGCCCACTTGGGATTGACCGTAAAGGTGATAAACAAAGATGGCTTCCCAAAATGACGGACGATGGCCATAGAATCATAATACAATTGGGCCATGAATCGAGGGCCGCCATGGAAGCTACTTGGTAAAATAAATCGACGTTCCAAATTAGCAGCGTTAATTTGGTCGCCTTCAGCAATAGCATCTGCTAATCCGTTATAAACATCAGCCCGAAGTCTATCTTGGTTGTGACGAATCCAGTCTAACTTGTAAAAATACTACGTGCTCACTCGGATTTAATAAACGATTGTTTAACCTTATAACCTCAGCTATTATCAATGTACTCATCCAATATATACGATATGCTGTTGACCTGATAAATCCATGTTTTCTTATAAACTTTTAACAAAGTCAGTCCTTGCTCATAATGCTATTGATCAATCGCTTTTTGACTGAATCAATATGCTTTTTAAAAGAGTCATGTACGACATTATATTGAATGAAATTACCTTTCGTGGCTCCATCGAAGTTGTTCATTTAAAGATTCATCACAGTCCCTTCAGGAACAACTTGTGGGAAGCCCATTCTGTTCTACTAACAAAGTAAAGCAGTCACACTAGTTTGCGTCATTTCCTCGTATTGGATCTCCGATGTAAGCGGGCAAGATGGGGACGTGCAAAGCAAGGGATTTTAATTTTTCGAAAAGACTTTTTTTTCTTGTCCTTTTACCTACAATAGACAATTACAAGAATGTTCTATCCCCGTGTCCTTTTATCCGCTGCTGCTAGATCCGCACAACGTCCTTTGATGACACGTATGGCTGCACCTGCTGTATTTTCTCGCCTCTATGCTTCTCTTCCCAAGGACACCATTGAATCTCGTATTCTTGAAATTCTCAGAGGCTTCGAGAAGGTTGATGCCAACAAGGTAAATGGTTATATATGTATTTTTGTATATCTCGATACTAACTTCTCATAAAATAGGTGACAGCTCAATCCAACTTTATCAAGGATCTCGGCTTAGACAGCTTAGACACCGTTGAAGTAGTGATGGCAATTGAAGAAGAATTCTCAGTCGAAATCCCAGACGCCGATGCTGATGCCATTCAAAGTGTTCAACAAGCTGTTGAATACATTTCCAAGCGTGAAGATGCTAACTAAATTGATTTTTTTAATTGATAATAAATAACCGCCACACAGATATACACGCACATGCGCACTCTGGGAATTATATGTTTAGTTCATAACGCGGATATGAAAAATAAGAGGTCTGTTATTATAGAAGGGGGGCAGGGGACTTTATTTCATTTATATGTATAAAAGAGAGAGAGAGCTAAAAAGATGAATAAGTCAAATCGTCTTCAGAAGACTACAAACATGTGTATAAGTTAATCAATTCACATAATTCAAATTATAGGGGAACCTACATCATCATCAAACGTTCTATTTATTATTGTTAGTAGGCGTATTTTATATAAATAAAAACACTTACGATTCTCCTAGTAAGCTCTGAAGGTCTTTTATCTGACTCTTCAAGTCATTCTTTACACTAATTAAATGTCTAATATGATCCACAGCTGTATATATATATATAAAAGTATATGTATCGAGTTAGATAGGGTGGATTACAAGTATATAGGCTTACATTTTTGTAAGATGAATGCCTCTGATCTATTGCCTTGGGTGAGTGAAGGCACTATGTCAATTAATTGATCAAATCCTAATTTAATATTCTGTCTACGCTTCTTCTCGGATGCAATATGATTTGCCTTCTTTTCTGCATCTGTTAATAGTTCATGAGGTGCTTTACGTGGTTTACGTTCCTTTTTAGGGGTGGGTGATGACTCTTCTAGTTTGATCTCTGTATTATCCAGACTCCTTTTCTTATTATTATTACTACTACTATTATTGGGTTGTACTATAGATAATGATGATGATGATGTTGGCTGTATGTATTTATTATCCTCTTCTGTATCCTCTATATATGAAATATTAATATCTCTTTCTTCTCTCTCTTTTCTTTTATGCCTTACCAGGTATCAATAAAGCATTTATAAACTTGGGTTGTTCTTGTTGTATTATTGACATCAGAAGACAGAGAGAAATAAAGAAATAAAGAAAGAGAAAGAGAGAAGCGGATAAAAGAGGAAGGGAGAGTGGGAACTCCAATTGGGTTCAAACTTAAAATCACGTGAAAGCACGCTTTTAAGCCAAAAAAAAAAAATACAAAGGGGTGTATTTATGAGTTCTTTATTAGCTATACTCTTAGTTGTCAATTCAACTAGAGGTCATCACTACTTATTCAGCTATCCTACAAACCCTAAACGACCTTCCTCATTTCACCAGCAACGTTTTGAGTCTGAGGATCACTTTTATGGCTCATCCGTCAGTTGTCTTACAAATAATGATGACAAAAGACAATCAATTGAAGCTGATCCAGATCCTTTTGCAGGACGTGACACCATATTCAACATTGACGTTTCATTTCTAGCAGACGCCTTAGCTCCCAAATTCCCTCTGTGTGATCGCAAATTTCAACTTTGTATTGACGATCTTACCTTTGTAGGACACCCTGTCAGTTTGACATCACCACAAAATGAACCACGAGAACACGAAGAAACACCATCAGCTCATGTATCTCCTAAGTCACCTTTAACTCCAAATACGACCCCTTCACCTCATGATCAACAAGAAGAGAATGACGCTCAGAGTATCGTCAATGAATCCTCTTATAGCGAAACTGAAAGTGATCATGGTAGCACTGACGGAGACGATAGGAGCAATAAAGACAATGATGACATTCATGACGAAAGCTCTCTATCTGATGGCTCACCTGGATCAATTCACATGACTTTATTCCACGTTGTCTTTGTCTTGTCACCACCTGATCTTGAATTGAACGCACAAGTAGAGACGCTTTACAAACATGTCATCTTGAAATACTCTTCTGCATTAAGGTACGAACAGTTACGGTGTGGTTATGTGCAAGAAGAAATAGAAAAAGTTTTAGCTTTGAAAGAAGAGGCTTATAATAAAAGCACACCTTATAATCAAGTGATGAGTGAGATACTACAGAAATCATCACTCGCGAGAGACATCCGACAGATCTACACAGCCATCTCTTCAAATGCTGCAGCACACGTTATCATTAACGACTTTATTGATTTATCCTTGCAAATACCTATACTTGGAACAAAGAAAGCGACATCAAGGAACTCATTGGAGGATAGTTTTGTTTCTCCTATAGCCTCTTCTCTGATGGACATTTACTCTGTCACAGGTTATGAGTATGATAATTACCCGATTCTCTGCCCTTATCATACCCTGCTACTCCTGGAAGATCCTGAGGAAGTTCTCAAGAATATGCCGCTAGACGCAAGTCCAACTTTAGTGCAACTAGTACAAATACTGACACCTACTCAAAGGTAAGTCTGTAAGTATTGAAACGAAACAGGCAAGTTAGAAGCCTTTTACTATAGTCTACAAGAGTTACATCTTCTTCTCGACTGTTCGTTAGCCCAAATATATCGTCTTGCAGCCCATTTGATCTATTGGCGGAAGGCAAAGTTGATCAACACCATAAGCACAAGAAACGTTTATGTCGTATCACCCACTGCAAAGTTAGAAGAGTATAGTAATAACAATAATGCTCGTAGCACTTGATTAACATACACATTGTAGTATGGCAGCTTTAGAAGCCGATTTTAGACAGCATATACCGAACCTAAGCCTGCCGATCCTATTGTCCAAGCTTCAACATACTCAGCAATACTACCAAGTATATCGGATTAAAGAGCTCAAGAATCAATATCTAGAAGCGATTACCTGGCTTATTCGAAAAGATTTGGTCGTTCAGGTGCACATGTACCTTGTCTTGATTCAGAACGGCGCACCTCAGCCACAGATCGATGAAAATAATACAGAAGACGTGATGCCATCGAGTCCAAACAATGGTGAAAGGCTAAAAAGAATAACAGCAAATCATGAAAGAGTACCCAAGGAAGTGGCTGATTTATTTGAACGATTAAAACCATATATGAAAGGACATAATCATATTGATGAGATTGTCTACAGAGAAGGCATATCTCGGCGGCAGTTAGGTTTAGTCTTGAAATATTACCGAGACAGGATACTCATTGTATATCACTATTAATTTCCCCTCCTTTCTCTCTTTCTCTCCCTCTCTTTCCTTCTCCCTTGTTTCTTACTTTATTTATACATTTCAATAAATACGCAATTTATTACGACAAACAGGTGTAGAAGAGGCCGTTGTAGGTGCAGCCACTTTGGATGAGGCTGGATGCCAAGCTGAAGGGTGTAGAAAGTGAGATGGAGGAGGCATGGTTAGATGACCAGATGAAGAAAGAAGCATGGGAGGTGGTATGTTCAAATCGAGGCCTTCTGCCCAAAAGTCCTTGTGGTTTTGCCAGTGTATGAGAAACCCATGAGGGGGAGGTAAGGCAGATAAAGATAGGATGATGTAGGCGAATCCAAACGTAAACACAAGGATTGCAACAATGATATTAAAGACGATTTCGCACATGATAAGGCAACCAAGACTAAAATCAATAGGTATGAGAATTATCTTTAATTCCTTGGTTATACTTACAATAACATGATCAGACCTTTCCCTCTATGAAGCGATAAGAAACCAAAGTAAAGCTGTATATACGGAGTAGGTGCAATAATTTCATAGACTACAAGGAGTAAACAAATAAGACTTTTTGCTATATAAGTAGTGAAAGAAAGAATAGAGAGAGTAAACCATTTACATGCAGTAAATCGATTGAACGATATCTGCTAATGACCCACCACTTGCTTTCAATATGGATCCTGACAAGACCATGATGTAAAGTGCAATGTTGGCAACATTTAATAAAAGATAGGCCAAGTTTTCAAATTTTGCTCGAGATATTCGTTTCATTAAGAAAAGGTGTTTATTATATTCTCACTTTTGAATGGTAAAAGTAACTAGTGTTAATATAAATGATTTGGCATTTAAATTATGCCGTTTCTTCTTATTAAAAGAAATATGAGTTACGATTACGTTTTCTAATAGTTCCATAATTCAAGCTGAGACTCCTAGATATCTCTTGATGAACAGGTGAAGAAGGAGGTGAAGGTAAGGTGGTATCATCCTTATGTTCTTGTTCTGCTAATAAAGATTTCAAAATTGTTTTACTTTCTTCCCATTGTGTAGACAATTTAACCAAGATATCATCCACACTGGCAAAGCGTGTATTGACTCTATTCAAACTTTGGACTGTACCTAAGAACAAAGACAATAAGAAAACATAGTATAAACACAATTTATGTATACCTCTTCCATAAGACAAGTATTTCATATCTTGTCTGCAGGCAAACAGTTTAGATTGACATTCTTCCATATATCTTTCTATGGCAGCCACTTTTTGTATTAAGTCAACAGCCTTGTTCTCTGAAGGGGATATGTCTGTCATTGGTGATGACGGTGACAAAGTATAGTTTAAGGACGATAGCTTTGAACCTTTTGAGCCTTTTATAAAAAAGGACTTTAGTTTTCTCATTATTTGTAATTCCTTTTTTTTTTCTTTACCTATCATGACAGTAAGAGGTTCGGAAGAAACGACTTGTGTCAATTGTTTATTAAACTTTTGGTACTCGAGGACAAGTTGATGATTGACTTGAATAGCCCGTTTCCAATTTTTACCATAATGAGCTGCTTGATTATTAGACATGACATCTAGTGCCAACAGATGCAAAAAATAGTCTCGGCGCTTTGAGCGAATAGAAGTAATCAACAAGTCTACATCTTGTAACTTGTCCATGTACATGTCCCGAAGTCTACATAAATTTTGAGAATCCGTCAATGGCTTCAGCTGATTGATCAGTTGGGTATAAGTCTCAAGATGTGGTTTGATAATAGAGATAAATTGTTGTGTATTGGTTGGTAGATTGGCTAAGGCCGTATCGCTCTTTTGAGACAATGAAATAATTTCATGCATAGAATCAAGAGCAGATACATGTATATTTCTAACCTGTACATGTTTCTGTAATACTTGTTATATTCATATTCAGTAAAATCTATGAAACACCTACATTGTGTCTATATATAAAATAGCAAGTAAATAGGTAACTGATCAATAGTCCATAGATAAATGTATCATGACAATAGTAATAACACGTAGCAAGGAGTGTTACACTGTAGAGAAGGCTGGTGGTCAAAATAAATAAATGACCGATGCCCTCGGTTGTTTGTGGGGCATTCTCGAGCATTTGCTGTTGCTGTTGTTGTTGATTTAGTTCATTAAATACGGATGAAGTAACAATCAAATACTTGAATTGTTCTTCAAATATAGATTGTTCTTTAGGAGATAAAGAAGTCGAAAAAAGTACCTAAATGATATGTAAGCTATTGATTTTCCTTAAAGCAAAAAAAAATACCTTAATAGTACGAGTCCAATGATAGAGGATAGACCATGGAAGGATTAAGAGTCTAAGTAGCATGGATCTTTTTGTTAAAAGAAAGACAAAGAGTAGAAATAAACCGGCATTTGAAGGAGACAAGAGATTTAAAATGTCTTGTTTCATATTTTAAGGAAAAAAGAAAAAAAAAATGAGAAGCAAAATCAGATGTTTATGTATTTTATTATTTTGCATTGAGCTGTGCAAGCAGTGAATCCAGTTCTTGTGCAACAATATGATTTGTACATTTTGCCCGAACTTGTCTATTTTGATATAAGCATGTTTGTATTTACTTGAATCTTTATTTTACCTTAATCCTTCCACGTCTTTATTCAAAAATGCTTGTTCACCTGCTTCCTTAAAGGCTCCTATTTTGATAAACAGCATAGGTCTTGCAGGTGGATCACACTTTAAGATGTATTTTGATGCCTCCTGATACTGTTTAGCTTTTATACATTCTTCTACAAATGGCTATTTTACGCGCGATTAGATGCTTTATAGATAATGATCAGATTTAACTACCTCATATCCAATAGGCGACTTTCTACTCTTTGCGAGCTTTTCCAAGTTATCCCAATCCCTGACTTCAACAAGAGCCCGGAGCTTGACCCACCAAAACCTATCGGGGAATGTTAATGTTCCGAATGACATGTCGGAGGACAAACCTTTTATCTGGTACTTTGAAGTCAGTCTTGATCTTGCTCGCCTTATTATGTTGACCAAGTGTCGTGCATTTATAGATTGTTTCACTCACTGATAACCCCGCAAAGGACTGTTGGGTATCCTTCTCAAGTGTTAGCTGGTATTGAAGTAGCTTGATAGCTTCATCTGTAGCCTATAACACATCTATGTCATTATTTTGTTTTTATGCATGTATTTCTACCTTGGCTTCAAATGTTTGTTCTCGCTGTTCGCTATAAGCCTTGGCCGCTATCTTGAGCTTTTTTATACGCTCCAAAACATCCTAGTCGTATATTATGATCACAGCTATACACGATCAATTATATATTCTTACAGAATCATTAAAGCCTTCAAGCAACATAAAATTAGCACTGTCTAGTCTTCTGTCATCCTGATAGTAAAAGTCCTTCAAAAGTTCAGTATCTTGTTCCTTGCAGTAAACTTCCAATAGATTACACGCCATCGGCTTATTATTGATCACACGGAAGAATTCTCCAAGTGGTAATTTACGCTTCAAGTGAAATATGACCAAATAAACTAAATCAGTATCTCCACTCTCTATTGCTTTGATCAAAGCCGTTTCGTCTTCCTGCATCGAAAGTAACAAAGGAACCTGATCTGCTGCCCTGGGTTCATAATCCAATAGTCTTGTCGCTAATCGAGTTTGACCAGCATCATGCGCAGTCTTTGCAATCTCGGCATAAGAAAGGCCCGGCTTCTTGGTTAATTTATCTACAATCGCTCTACAGATAGATTCTTCATCTTCTGTGGATGACTTGATTTTTTCACAGGCCCAGTGGATAAGGATTTTATCTGTTCGTGTCTTAAGATATTCGGCGATACGAACAGCCAGTAAATGATGGTTACGATTAACTAGGCGATCAATCAACACTTCGGGCCCTTGACGTTTATACCTATTATTGATTAATCAAGTGGTAGAGGGGAGCTTTTTTCTTAATTTTATTTACATACTGGGTATAAGTCAGAGGTATGCCAATATCATAGTATCTCACTGCATTCAGCACACGGATGGTTTGAGCCATATCGACAAAGTTGTTTGCATTATAATTTTCCAAAAAGCATTTACCAAACGAAGCTGCTTTCAGTAGCGTACGTTGATAATAGTGCTGGAATTCAAAGCCTGCTGCTTCAATGCAGCTATCAACAGCATCGACTAGCTCTGTCCTGATGGTACGGATATTTTCATCTGCTTTGGGACTTTTACGCTAATTTTGAAGTTAGATCTGTTATTTGCTATATACACTTTACCTCATAATGATCCAATGCGTCATATAACATGGCGGGTGGATCAGTTGAGCCAATCTTGAAGATTTTTTCAGTAGAATCTAGATGAACATGAGTTACAGTCCCTTGTTTCTTTTGTTTATGCTTGCTTACCTGGTACTTTTTGTAATAGCTCACACTTGTCATTACTCATGATTCGAACACCATCAATTTCAGATACGAGATAGATGGGGTCCTCATAAGAGTACTTTATCCAATCACCATAAGGCCCTACGATCAAAACGATGTGGTCCCAGTAAAGGACGACGGCGTCTGTGCCACACCAGACGAGCTGTTGAGGAGGAATCCTTGATTTCGTAGAATATTCGGACATATTCTTTTGAAAATCAGTCGATACAACCCATAGCTTACCATCTGCAGTAAACAAGGCAAGGAACTTTCCGTTTGGAGACACAGCCATTTTGGTAAAGGGGCCTTGTGTCAGATGCTCGTCTGTAGCCTCGTTACTGTCCACCACGAGGATGGTTGAACCTGTCGCGATCAAGACTTCTACGTGTCTGCTTAGCGTAAACTGAGGGGGTACAATCGTCCAACTGTGAGGGGGTTCGTCCAGTCGAATGTCTGCAAGAGGCTTTGGCTGTGGTTCAAGAAAGTTGGTGACAGAGATAAGTTGATATTTGCTGGTCATCGCGACAAGTCCACCTCCCCAAATTTGACAATCAATGATACCATCATCTTTTGCTTCCTAATAAATAAACATATCCTGCGTCAGTCATTAATGGCCCTAGAGAGACTTTTAAAGCGTACCTTTCCTAGAGAAAATTGGCTAAACTGACCATGGAACGTATATAGCCTGACTGAACCATCTTCTGTGACAACAACGAGTTGCTCTTGTTCTGTCCATCCTAAACCAACAATCTTTCCTTTATCCCACTTTTTCCCGTGGATAATCGCACGTTAGTTGAAGGTCATGTTGAAGAGGCTTATATTACCTGAATTTGTTCGATGAGTTTGCCTGCACTAGTATACATATATATCGTAGGTTTTATAGGCTGCTGCTTCTGCAACAATAACACCTTTCGATCATCCCTTATCATTGCTATATACTTTATGTTATGAACCAATACAGAAAACTCTCATCGAAAATTACCAATAGGCCCACCATATTGGGCTCCTGCAATCATAAACTTTGATAGGTCAGACTGATTCCAAGATAAAGAATATATCTCTTGTTTCCTAAAATACTTATAAATACTGAGAGCGGTTTGCATATGATTGTCTTTTATACTTGCTTATAAAAGCGATCCTATATGACCTTGATAAGTAAAGAAGTGGGACAATTCGAAAGAATATTTCTTACATGTAATTCAGTCCAATCAGCTGTTGGATTTGTAACCATTTGTTAATGTTAAAGTGGAAGAGAAAGAGCAATAGGAAGGTTGAAACAAATTGTGCAAGCGTGAATATAAAGTCCGCGAATCAGCCCTTGTGGGAGAGGACATAAAGTAATTGATCTAAGGTAAACCTCAATCTCTTTTTCTCTTTCTCTTTATTTCTCCTCTTTATCCATTAAACTATTGACGTTGTCTTTCTTTTGGTTCACTGAGAACAAGTGTTTTATGTGCAGGATTTAAAGATAATTTTTTAATCACCCTTTTTTCTGTTACCTTTTTGAAAATGTATGTTTGCTGTTTAACTTTTTTTTTTTTTTTGGCTATCAATAAGTCTATGTTTAAGTCAGTACTTTGTGTATTGCAGTGTCACTTTGGCATTGTGTATTTTATGGTGACTGCTTGGATTCAAATGCACTTTGATTTTTTTTTTGTCGCGTTTAAATTTTTTCAAAGAGCTCTTTTTTCTTTTTTTCTTTCTTTCTTTTTTTCCAGCTTTCAATCATGGAGACAAGTTGTTTAGAAAAATCTTTTAATGCGATCGAGGAAGCATCAGTGACCTTGGAAAGTAGAAGCATCATTGACCGCCAATTTCCAGACTTGACTCAGACATTTTCAAGTACAACAAAAAAACAACTTACAAAGCTATAAATATTTATCTTTTCTTTGTAGATCACTTTGTATATGAAAAAACAACAGACACAAAAGTGAAGCCTACTGCATTAAAGAACAGTGTGAACATGCCTATTATAGGCATTGAGGGAATCAACCAATGTAAGTTAATTATCATTTCTTATGAAGTAACCTCATTTTGCTTGCTTTTAGTAAAACCAGATAGTCCCTCTGGTATTGCACCTAAAATCAACAAGGCTTATTTTGCAGTTGGAAAATGTCTTTATCTGTGGGACTATGTTAATAGGTAATACACATATATAACATGCATTTGCATATACACGTAAAGGACTCACATTTGTTAAATCAGTAACAATATAAGTATCTATGAAGAAGAGGATGATATTATCGGTATTGGGTTTGCGCCACCCAAGCCGGATGTATTTAATAGCGAGAAGATATGTCAACTATTGATTGTCTCCACTCTGTCTTTTGTTAAAATCATTGCTATTAGTGAACACCCTACTGATGGGGTACGATTCCACAAGACTGATATGTACACTAGCACATCTGGAGTTAATATGAAAACAATTCTTGGCACAAATAACGGACGTATATTCATGCTAGGAAATGATGGAAATGTTTGGGAACTAGACTATAGAGTAAGCTACCAAGGTGTTAAAAACAAATCCATTAATTATACTACATAGCAAAGTGAAGGATGGTTTACTGGTAAATGCTCAAAGAGGCTACACTCTCCAGGCTTATTTTCCGCTTTATTTCTATCCATGAACGATCCTGTTATTCAACTTACTGTTGATGAGACTGGAAGAATTCTATATCAACTAACAGCGCATTCCCATATCATTATTACCTATCTGGGCAAAAGTGGACAAGGTTATCAACCAATAATCACCTATACCAAATCACAAGAAACTGCAAGGCTAATGTGCCCTAGCCTGTCTTCTCTTGACAATTTCAGAATCGCTTCAATTCATCCAGTATCTCCTTATGAATCCAGAGCATATCAACTTGTTGCCGTCACGTCATCTGGTCATCGTTTATACTACAGTTATCATAAACAAGGAAGCAATCTAAAGACTGAGGGTATTCCAAGTGATCTTACTCTCATACACGTACGCTCTCCTCCAAGCATGATTCCAGGACAAATTTCAAAGGCCCTTTACAAGGATGGTGTCATGACACTTGTATACAACAACGAGCAAAAACAATCTATCTTTACGATTTCTCCTGATTTGGGCAAATTAACAAAAAGTACTGCAGTCGGTCGACCTGAACTTGTTGAATTTGTTGATGAAACGACTGTTCCAGGAAGTATTATTGCTATTGCTGAATCACACTGCGCCGAATATCAATTGAATGAACTATCTGCTCACTATACTGCTCCAACTAGACAATTACTCGTTTTGACAACGTGTGGATTATGTGTGTTGGCAAAGCAAAGGCCTATTGACATGTTATTTGGACTTGTTTCAGGAACCTATGAGGATGCAGCTATGCGAATCAATCATTTTAGAGAATTTTTGACCCACTTTGGATACTCCAATTCTTGTGCTATGTCGCTTGGCCTTGTTACTTCCTATAATAGTAACTTATACAAAACAAACTCATCTGCGTCTGCTACTTCACAAATAATTACGACTGTTACTGCTCTTTTACAAGAACTTAGTGGTATTCCTTCAGATCTGTCTTTGCATGAACAACAGTATACTAGTCGGCATGATGGTCTGGCTCTATTCTTGTATCGCACCATTCGTTCTGTTTGGGATAAACCATTCTTTAGTGAAGTATTTATTGATGGCAAACTCGCATATGTAAATGCAACCAAAAAAACAGATCTGTTGGATATTCAGACTATACTAAGGAATCTTATTGTATTTATGCAAAGGTACAAGCATGTTTATTTCTATATTTCTTCATCTAATGGTTATTTTTTAGCTACCCGACATTGTTTCCAAAAGCTAATGTCAACGCAGAAGAAAAGTCCATAAAGAATATGTATGAGCTTGCGGTTTATGTTGCCGAGGCGATTGCTTTCTTCGTTTATTTGATTGATACTGGTGATATTGCATTTATCACACAAAACTTGAAAGCAGAATTTAAAGAACATCTGAAGACAGTTAGCTTAAGACAGCTACTTACAACAAGCGGACGACCTCTTGTTCGTGAATTAACGGGATCGCTTATTGAATGCACGTTCAGAAGACAAAACTATGATACAGAATATGTTATAAGCATTCTTCAACAAAACTGTGGTACTTTCTGCGACGCAAGTGTGGTTCTTCTTCATCGTGCAACATACGACATTTATTCTGCTCGATCCGCTCCTAGTAGTCAAACCAAAGCTATATTGAATAACGCACTGAACATATTACAAAGAATCGCAGGACAAATTCCTGCTTCAAGCTTAGCCGAGATATCTAAAGAGTTTGCATCTCAAAATTATTCAGTATATGGTATCAATATAGCATTGACATGTGCTAAAGCACGCGATCCCAACAATGCAACAAATGGGCTTTTGAAAACTGGATATACTCCGAACGAGGCTACGGCAGAACTATTCAAAGCCAAACAGCCTTTTTACGACGTTGTATTTGATTTACTCCTGGATGTCACTAATCGAGTTCCAGATTGTACTTTTAATGACTTAAAAAAAAATGCTTATGCAGCTGCCTTCAATTCTCAGGATATTGCGTTTCACTACTACATCTACGAAAAGTTTATGAATAATGGTATTGATGGAGAGCTCATTAAGGTATCTGTACATAAAATCATGTCAAGTGCTATTTACTAACTTTGAAATATATTTCAGACATCACCAGCTTATCTTGAAGAATTTTTGAGCAGACAACCCTACTCGTATAAACGCCTCAGACTTCTTGCCAAATATTACAAAGAACACGAAGAGTTTGAAAAAGCTGCCAATGTATATATTCAATTGGCACAATCACAGTAAATACGTTTAATAGTAACCTCTTGCTGGTTTTGCTAACAAAACTGAATAGGGAAGTGACCAATGAAGAGCGTTCTCAATACCTGGCAAATGCTTCTATTTGCGCGAGAAGTGTTACTGCCCCTGCAAAGCAGTACGAAAAATATCATTTATTACAAACAGTAAATCAGTTAGATCCTACACAAAACCAATAAATACCTCCATTACATTTTTTACACAATTCAAATATTCTTGTGATGTTTACATACTTTTATGTTAATGCAGTAAAGGGTCAATAGCTAACAATTACTATTGATGAACACCATAAGCACGAGAGATGTTGGCACTAAACTCTGTTCCTGAAACTGGGAGCCTCTGAAGATGATCTTTCTCATTCTTTTTTGAATCTCGTTAAGGTCGCAATTGAATCTCACAATTATGCTGACAAAATCTATTTAAGAAATGAAGTTCGTGATGCTCTTATTGAGCACGGTGAAATGCACATCGTTTTCAGCACGAAGAATTCTAATGCCTTTGCAATCCGCCTAATTTGCAAACATGCTGGTATATACCGTAAGACAAGAAGAAATCACTACTATTCTGTCGTGAGCTCCACTGTCAGAATTTAAAGTATACTTCGGGAGATTCTTGACGCACTTCCAGATCTCAAAATAGTGACATTGCATTTTTTTTTTTTTTGAACTCTTATTCTCGAAATAAGTGATGTTGCATTCTCTTGGAAGAGTGTGTGCTTTCTATTTCTGCTGCATGATCCCGTAACTTTTTATGCTGATTCCATTAGTATAGAAATTATCACGAACGCGATGATCATTGTAGGCGTAAACCACTGACAACATGTTAAATCAATTAAGGAAGTGTTATGTGTATTCAGACGCTTCAAAACCCCATTTTTTGTGAAATAAGGTGGTATAAAACCGTTGTCAAACAGCTATACATTTACTATTTTATATTAAGTCCAATTAAGCAAGTAGTGGCTCATAGGAGTAAGATATAAGAATATCAAGTGTGTCTATTTATTGTAAAATTGTTAATATATGCAGTTGCAGTTATAAATTAAAAAACGATGGAATAATCTCTAGCGCAGAGAGTCGGATTTCTTTTGACGAGTGCTTTGTGATATGGGTTTAGAATTGGGATGGGGAATTTTACTGGCCTCCCAGTCTTTGTTCGAGCAGTTTCTATCAAATAGAAATGATTGTGATCCAGTAAAATATTAATGACTGACGTGTTTGATGAGATAATCATTATAATAACTCGAGTATAATCTTACAGTAGAGCATACATTCTACTTTACATTCCTCTATCGCATCTGATA